CCTGTACTTAGTACCAGGGTAGAAGAATTGTGAGATCCCATCCTTACTGACTGTCGCCTCTCTGTCAGAAAGTCCTTTACCCACACACAAATCTTCTGAGGTAATCCCAGGTTGATCATTTTTAAAAACAACCTATTTGGTAGAATGGTATTAAAAGCAGAGCTATAATCCGCAAACAACAGCCTTGCATAAATTCCCTGTTGTTCTAAGTGGCTCAATACAGTATGGAGTACAATGATAAAATAAAATAAGATGAGTTGTTCTATAAATGAGGTTCATATTTCCTTATTCAAATCTGAGGGCAGGTTTCAATCATTTTACAGACAATACAAGCCCAGACAGTATAATCAGCATTCCAATCCTTAGAAAACACAGTGTAAGCATCCACAAGCCTGATGGCTGACCTGATAATTAAAAGAGCAGCTCTAGTATTTCATTCAGGAATGAAGGGCTGCAGCACAAACAGATAGTGTCTAGACCTTTCCAAGGAGGACTATCACATGGAGTTAGTACACAAATGTCATAATTTGTTTTTTCCATTCCTGATGTACATGAAGAATAAAAACATGCTTTGATTTGAACAGGGAGTCAACTACCTGTAAGTAAGTGTGGTAGAGGAAGTGCCATCATGATAAAAGTATTAAGACTGGAGACAATACTTGACTTGAAAATAAGCTGGCTTGACAAAAGACAGAAATTCTACAAGGAAACCGTTGGGATCATTTTGGAGGCCCTACAAGCAGGAAACATCCTAGCAGTTTCAGTTTCATAACTGGCTTAGATAGGAAACTCAGAAGTATCTAGAATTTTTAATCCTCCTCCTCCTCTTCATCATCTTAGAACTGCAGAGCTTGAAGGGACCCTATGGCTCATCTAGTCCAGCCCTTCTCAAGGAGGCACAGTGGGGAGACAAACTCCGAACCTTTGGCTCCACAGAGGTTGGGAGTTTGAGCTATCCATCACTGAGCTAGCCACCAGTTCCTGAATGTTAATGTAAATAACTTCTCTTTATGAGGTACCAGACAAGTTTTCACAATATAATGTAAATATATCTGTGTTATGTGGTTAAAAGGGCGAAACTGTATTACTGTATCTCCATATTTAGCTATATGTGCAGTCAAGTCAGAATAGCCTTATAGTGGCCCTAATAGGGCTTTCAAAGTAGCTAAGATATTTAAGGAATGGTTTTACCAGTTTCACTCCCCCAAGTGAATTTCCATGGCTGTGCAGGGATTCTAACCCTGTTCTCCAGAGTTCTAATTCATCACTCTATCCACTATACTGAACTGGGAATCCCAATATACAGTAAGTATATATCCACAGTATATTTAAAATACTGAGTTTGGATCAGCTCCGATTTCACTGTTTGGTCATAGTGAATCAGTTTTGGTTGATTGGGGAATAGGATGTTTGATAGCTCCTTTTAAGTAACCAAAATAAAAATTGGAGATCAGAATGACAGCTTTGTAGTCATAATCCTAATCGTTTGAGGCAGATTGCTTTTTCTAACAATAGCAGTTTGCCTATGTAATGAATAAAGATATGTGTGGGTATCATACTTTTAGAAGTAGACGTTTATTAAGCTTCTACGTCACTCCATAGCTGCTTTAATTTAGTCAAAGAGTTGCCCTTAATGAAGGACATTACTGATCAAATTAAGGGCCTGCCATTTTAAAGAAGAAAGGAAAGGCTGTTTTCCATCAGCTGCAGTGAAACACAAAGTTGTTCTATTTAGTTTTTTCAGTTTAGGTTGTATTAATTAGATACAATATTTGATGAAAGCCAGGAACAGAAAGGATTGGTGCTGAATAATAGCTGTGCTTTGTTGTTAGACTGCTTAATACTATATAATGTTTCAGTGGTTTAATCATTTGAAGAAGCTGGATGTAGAGCTTGAAAAAGGATGGCACCTTTTATAAAGAACAACCCAACTAAACGTACAATGAATGTGAAGGGCAATGAATGGACTTTTAAATGATTCTGTATTTAAATCTCTTTTCCAATATGGAATAATAATTATTTCACTACCTTATATGTTTAAACAATGGTCTTCCCTCTTACATTTTAATTTGCTAGTTTGACAGAAGTGCCACACAACTCCAGAATTTTTTTCCAGGTTGGAACCTTGGAAAAGGTATGGAACTGAAATAAATTACAACACAAGATAAATCTTATATAAGAACCCAATCTCCACAAAATTTTGTCTATCCTTTTCTCTACTAGAGAGTTAAAAAGTATGAGCTCAAAGTAAGATTTTCTAATTTTTTACAAAACAAGATTTTCTGTACCTCAATTCAGTCATCAATCCAAATGGAGAGCGCAGCCACATAATCAGAAAAAGAATGCGACTCAGAAGGGCAGCTGTGAAGGAACTAGAAAAGGCACTGAAGTGCAAAGAAGTGTCACTGGAAACCGAAGTGAAGATTGTCTACATTGCTGATTATTATGTACCGTTGTGAAAGCTGGACAGTGAGGGAAGCTGACAAAAAACAAAGTTGATTAATTTCAATGCTATATGGAGGATGAGTTTTGCCCATCACATGGACCACCATAAAAACAAATAAATGGGTTTTAGATCAAATCAAGCCTGAACTCTCCCTAGGAAAAAATGACTAAACTAAGGCTAAAGTAATTCAAGCACATTGTGAGAAGCCATGACTCAGTGCAGAAGACAATAATGCTGGGAAATGTTGAAATGAACAAAGAGAAAAAGAAGACCAAATATGAGATACATTGAATAAAGGAAGCCACAACCTTGAGTTTGCAACAGCTGAGCAGAGCTGTTGATGATAGGATTTTTTGGAGGTCACAGAGTTACTGTAAGTTGGTAACAACTTGATGGCACATAACAAATGAGTTATTTGCCTTACTTCTGAGTAGACATGCATAAGAGTATTTTTGAGATGGGGAGGAACAAAATGACTTTCATTTTGCAATGATTCTAGTTTAATTTCTGTCCTGCTTGATGCAAATGTTTATGTCTTACAAGATAGTTTATTTCTAAGTAGAGAAGTACAATCCTGGGCTCTGGTTCTTACAGCTTCCTTCTGAGTAGGCATATCTTGTATTTTAACAGAAGACACCAGGTCATGGGTTGAGAAAAGAAACTAATCACTGCTTGTTTCCACTGTCAATTTAATGTCCAAAATTCAAGAATAGAACATTTCCTCACTTTGATTCCTTACAATGTACTTGTTCAGTTTCCTCTCAAAACCACTTTTCCTTTGAATTGTTACCGTTAACATCTCTAAATGTTTCTACAGGAGTATGATGAAGAATGGGCTAAGAAGATTCAGAGCGAGAAGTTCCGATGGCACAACTCTCAGTGGCTAGAAATGGTGGAAAGTCGCCAGATGGATGAAAATGAGCAATATTTATATGGGGATGACCGCATTGAACCGTATATCCATGAAGGAGACATTCTAGAAAGACCTGATCTTTATTACAATGCTGGTAAGACAGAAAGACAGCAACATCCTCCCTTACCCTATTGAAAACTATTTGTGGTCACTTCTTGGAAGAAATCTTAATATATTGTCTTATAAACAGGTTCAAATATTCTGCCACTCCATCGGGAAGGCTTAAAACTCTCATTGCTTAGTAAGGTCTAAATCCAGTTGTTGGTCCCAACTATGGTAAACCAACAGTTATTTAAATCCCATTCATTCATTGTTTGTAATGTAGTTGGACTAGTGATTGGATATAGGCCTGAGTGGAGAGTTAGCGGAATGGTTGTTTAGAATATTGGTTCTTTACAAGGATAAAGTTGCATGAAAATGACAGTACATGAATTAATGTACACTAGAGCAGCAGTCCCCAACCTTTTTGGGACCGTGCATCAGTGGTGTGGGCTCTGTGCGCAGGGGGATGGGGCAACCCCTGCGCTCACGGGTGGGCATGTCATGCTCCTGGGGGGTGTCACACTCATGGAGGGATGTGTCATACTCGCAGAATGACATGCCCACCCGTGCATGCATTCTGGGGGTGGAGATCCATCTTCGCGGCCCAGTTCTAGGAAGCTGGGCCGTGGACTGGGGGTTGGTGACCCCTGAACTAGAGGAAAAGGTACTGGTACATTTGCTGACTTTAAGAGTGATCAATTTGGCAGGCTGTGCTGTTCTTCAAAACAATTTTCAGCAAATAATATTTGGTTTTCAGTATGTGTTCATACCTTTAAAAGGAAGCATGACCCTTTTTAACAGAGATAAGCTATGGTAAGTAGTAATGCATTTGTGATATGAAGTTTTCCCTCTATATGTTATTAGAAAAATGTGTATGCTGTGTAAATCTTTTCATGTACCTGATGGCATAGGCACCATCTTACCTCGGAGACTTGATGGCATAGCATGTTGCTGGTCTTTAATGTTACCAGAAGATGGTTTGACTTTGTTGTGCAACTTGTGAAAGATAAAAAAATACCTCTTTTGAAAATACCATTGCAACTAGTGTGGCATCAAGATATGTTTTTCCCTTCAAAATGCCATCTGGACAATTCAAGTACAAATCTTAATTACAAAAGTGTGAGAGGAGGCAGATTGGGGTAGGCTTAGTATTAGCACGTCTCTGTGACAGAGCGAATATGGCTTATTTATCGTGCAGCTCAGCATACAATGAGAAAGGCCTATGCTAACTTTTTGTTATGTTCTATTAAGTCAGAAATGACTTAAGTGAGCCTAACATGGTTTTCATTGTAAGTGATGTCTTTAAGGAGTTTTTTTTACCAATTCCACCCATCCAATGAGTTTCCAGGGCAAAGGCAGGGAATCAAACCCAGGTCTCCTGAGTCCTAGTCCATTACTCTCTTCACTACACCACATTGTGTACCCATGCTAACTTTTTACTCTGTAGCAATTCACCTACAAGATTACCAGTTGTGTCACTTCTGTGTAAAAACTTAGTATGGTTTTGACCAGTGCTTAAGCAGAAAAACATTTATTGGAAAAGCCCAGAAACAGTGTTAAAAATTAGAAATGTCTATGTAAACTGTTTTTTTAATATACAGAGAACCCCAAAATCAAGCATCAGAAGACAGTGTGATTTCCCAAAACTTTGTGAGGCTTTGTAGAAGCCATGCATCTTTTTCTCTCATACATGTGTAGTGGTTCCATATTTAATCCTGCTGTTCTGTGAATTCTTGGATTATTTCACCCCCTCCTCCCGCAAGTTCCTTTAAAAAAGTTTAAACTTGATATTATCCTTCCTGGCCAGTGGTATGCATTCTAACAGAACTTGTATTGTGGTTTTAAATGGTGGTTCTTCTCCTAGCGGCAGGTCCGCTGCTGGTTCTCAAGCCTCCACGTTTCTTGGGGGCTTGCCTGATCCTGATGGACCCAGGCAGCTTCCTCCAGTGGCCCCAGCAACTGTACCCAATAGCCAGTTATGGGATCACATCGACAGACCACCTCCCAGCAGCCTTCAAGTTTGGTGGCAATGGCAGCCATCTCCTAGGCCTCATTTGCAGCCATTACTGAGGCAGCATCTTGACAGTTTCAGAGCCAGTACCTTCTCAATCATTGTAAATAATTTATTTCTTTGATCTTCATTTTTTACTTTATTAAATGTTCTAATTGTTTTTTTTTAAAAAATATATTGTTCATTGTTATATTTGCTTCAGTAGTTTATGGTCGCTTCAGTCATCAGTCATCAGAATCAATCTTGTCAAATCTGTAAAATTCTTCTACGTGGCCTCTGTGAATCCACACAACTGGGTTTTAACTGCGCTTGCGCTGGATCCTTGGAATAGTCTAGAGCTTAAAAGAGAAACATTAGTAGTATGTTGTCCCTTACCACACATGCTCCACCTGCCCAAACCTCAGTTCCTTTTTGCTGCCGTCGCAATTGGAACCTCTCTGCTACAGCTCCTAATTTCTTCCTGATTCTAAACTGATTGTCTCCTTTGTGCACGATCCAGAATACCTTGACTTTGCTTTTGCCTTCTGATCTTTGTATGTTGTCCCTTGGCTTGATTTTGGACTGCTTTCGGGTTCCCGCCTTTTCTATTCAGACTGATTATCCCTCCACGACTTGATTTTTCAGTAAATCGACTTCCCCTTTCAGTCAACATTTTGGACTTCTTGTTATTGCCTCAATGTTATTAGGATTGACTTGGACTGGTTTATATTATTCATCTTACTGTGAGTGTTTACTGATTTGTTCTTGCCACGAGGCCACCCTTTTATGGCCTCCACGGGCCTGTTTAAATGTTGTGTGTCCTGTGCTGCCAAAGTTCCCTTCACCAACGGACACGACCGCTGTTTATTTTGCCTAGGGCAAGGTCACCAGCCCCATTCCTGCGCACATTGTAAGAACCTTTCCAAGCCCATGCTGAAGTCTCATGAACAGAGACTTAAAGCTTAACCTGTGGAGCAAGTATCTTTCTCCCGCCAAATTGCAGATGGAATCAAATATGACCCAACCATCCATCCCTTGTCCCGAGCCTTCGGCAGCAGCGAAATCCCCTATGATGTAACTTAAAAAGGAGTCTGGATCGGCTTCAGAAGTCATCGGCTCCAACTACAGCAAAGCATTCAACTGTAGATAGCCTGAAGAATAAGAAGACAGACAAACATAAGAAAGTTAAGGCCTCTTCAAAGGACCAGCAGCGCAATTTAGTGCCAATCTCAGAGTCTCTGCCTTCACTGATTTTAGAGGAATCCTCCAGGGATTTGCCTGATACCGAGTCTGTTTCAGACGGCGGAACTCCCATTCGTCACCCATCTACACAGGCTCTGCTCTCGCTACCGAGCCGCTCCCCAAGTCCAAGCCGTTTACAAGGCTGAGATTGCTTCCAGCCAGGCTCTGCCCATTCTAGCCCTGTAAACACCAGGCGGGCGATTATCATACATTGATCTGACTCGGAGGACTCTAGAGAGCACACGTCTCCCAGAAAGAAAACTGCTAAAAGGAGGCATGCTTCACCACCTCTCCATCAGTCATCACATCAGGAAGTGGTAGTGATCTCGAGAGGCTCTTGACATCAACCATCTCCTGATTCCGATGAACCCATTTATGTTGAGGTCCAGTGCAGGGCGGGTCGACGTCAGTATCGAGAAGATGACTTTGACACCAAAAAATATTATGAGGTCGACAGCCATGGCAAGCGTAGGAGGATAAAATATGCCTCATCATCATCTCCATCGCCACCTCGGTGTTGACATTGATCAGACTATGAAGTTGACGCCCCAACATCAAAGGTTTTTAGGCACCGATCTCCATATAGAAAGTCTTCAACACCCTCAACATTGAAGAGAATCCACTCATCTGTCACTGCTTCTACCTCAACTCTCGCACCGACTGGGAAACGTCAGATAGTCGTAGTCTCAACCAATCAGGTCTCTAAGGACTCTGCTTCAGGGGATTATTCAAAGAGTCACCTTCACTTTCGCCCTCCTTTCAAGGTGACCTTTTGGCATCTTCAGCCTCTGACCAAGAAGAGGATGTCCTCTCTGAAGCCTCGGAGGAGACTCCTCCAAATGTCAATACCTCGGATTCTGATGTGGGAGATTCGTGACCCCCATCTCCTTTACAGGACTTTACATCTTATTCACAAATGGTGTCACGTATGGCCAAGGCTTTGAAACTGGATGTTGCGCAGCCACTGGCCCCTAAAGAGGACTTGGTGTTTGATGATATTAACCAGGAAAGAACACATCCTTTAAGCCCATCTCTTATGGAAAACATTAAAGAGGCTTGGGATCTTCAACCTGCCTCCCTGTAGATTTCAAGAAGAATGGAAGGGCATTATAGGACCCATGGGAATGAAACCCTATTCCTTTCTAAGCACCCAGTGCCTAACTCCATAATTGTACAGACCAATATCTCCAAAACAGGAGGTAAAGCTAAGGTAACTCTCACGAACCGTGAGGGACGGAAATTGGATGTCCTGGGGTGTAGGATGTACTCCTTTGCTTCCTTTCTTCTTAGAGTCTCAAATTACCAGGCTGCTTTGGGTGCTTACCAGAGACAACTCTGGGCCAAGGTCTTACCGGCCCTCCAAGCTGCACCGGAGGACACTAAAACAGAACTTCTCAATGCTCATGCTGAAGCATCTACGGTTGCTAGGCACTAAAGACTGGCGGCTCGTCATGCAGCTAAAGTTGCTTCTAAATCTCTAACATCTGCCATCTCTTTGAGACAACATGTGTGGCTAAGAAGAAGACGCAAAAGCATATATAAAAGAACTGTCTTTTGATGGGATTGGCTTGTTTAATGAAAAGACAGACGGAATCATGGAATCCTTTCACAAAATAAAGAAAACAGCCAGATCGTATACTATCCAGCAGCAACCCAAATTCCAGAGATATCAGTGGCGTAGGCAATTTGGCCAACAGCAATACCAACAACAGTACAGCCAGTCTTACTGTTCGTATAGACCTTCAGCCCAGGGAAAACCAATGCAGTCCTCTTCTGCCAATAATACTTTCAGACTGCAATCTTCATCTCAGCATCGCCAG